ACTGGGCTGCACTGAGTGCACACTAAAAACTCGTCCATGTTTAGCTGGGAGTGCAAGAAACTCGCACTTTCGACAACCTCGTGTAGTGCTGCTACTACGAAACGAGTTTTTGGTGCGCACTCAGTGCGGCCCAGTGAAATGCGCTATAAGTTATTTCGACCATGCTTATAGCGCGTTTCACTGGCTGCACTGGTGCGCACTAAATGCGCACTAGACAAGAGCAGCGTGTTTCACTGCGCACGCTGCGTTTCGGTGCGCACGAAAACAGTGCGCGTTGTTTCACTGGGAAACTTGGTGCCGAGTTTTTGCTGGGAGTGCAAGAAACTCGCACTTTCGACAACCTCGTGTAGTGCTACTACTACTAAATGAGTTTTTGGTGCGGCCCAGTGAAACGCGCTATTAGATTATCGTATTCGGCAAATGAAAACTGACCTAGTGTAGTGCTGAATTTGTATTCGGACCAACCGAATGAACTGAACGAGTGCAAGAAATATTGCACTGACATTTTTGTCAGTGCAGTTTGATGTTTGGACAAATAAAACTAGTTAGTCAGCAAAAAATTACAAAATGGATAAAGAAAGACTATTATTTATTATAGATAAATTATTAGAAACAAGTAGTAGTAGTAGTGGTGATGAAGATATGTTTAATAAAAGAAAGGCCGAAAATTAATTAAAAATAAAAAAATTTAATTATTATTATTATATTATTATTATTAATTATTATTATCAATTAAAAATTAAATTATTAATTAAATTATTAATTAGTGTAGTTTTGCACTCGCACCGTGTCAGGGCAGCACTAGAACCGTGTTAGTGCATATGTATCGAATGTGCCATAAGACTAAAGCCCGATCTACAATTGCGCAAACGTAGTTGTAAGTGGTTATAGTTATAAGAATTGACCAATGACAGTCGAATATTCTCCTCGTATTCAACTGTGATTAGTCAATTCTTACAACTACAACTATGTTTACGCAATTGTAGATCGGGTTTAAGACTAGTTACTTCATAGGCAAAGCAGATAACACATATATATAACGTTCTGGGCCCATAACCTGTTTGATATCTACTATATTTAAATCACTCAGATTATATATTAATACAATAAAAGCACTTTATTAAACATCGTACATAGAGAAGCGAAAAAGGTTAAACCTCAAAAGACAAAGACGACTCGGGAAGACAGAAAACAGCAGCAAGACAAAAGCAACATGAAAATATAATAATCGATAGAATCATTCCTCGGCAATAGATTCAATTCACAAACACCTGTAAACTTACATTAACATTAATTTATAAAATTACATCTCAACATTTTTAAACTAGTTATTAATTTATTTATATACATACCTATAAGAATCAGGTGTAGCCATAAACCATATGGCAACAAGGAGTTGTTTTCTAGGAATAGGATTTCTTCCACCTTCAGTATTGATAGCTCTTAATCCTGGACTGATTATGCGTAGCACTTCCTCAAACGTTTCAGGAAACATTCTATAAATCCATTGAACAAATATACAATAATTTTTTAATTCTTAAAATGAAGAAGCATTAAAATATGTTCCTGATACACATAAGACTCAATGTCTCATTGAAGTACTCCAAGTAATTCAGAAATATGAAAAAAGACAATAATGTTTTGACAGCTTTATAAAAAAAAATTTGTGGAACGTTTTTCTATTTTAAAATAAGTAAGTTTATTAAGAAATGTAGTCGATTTTATTTTTGTATTTAATACTTGTTCTTTATAGCTGAACTGACTGCACTAGTTTACAATTTATCTTCTTCCTTTATTTGTTTGTTTTGAAAGTTTATATTAATATTTTTTTCTCTCTTCTCACTCTTTTTGACGAAGCTTAAACTTATTTTGTGTTTGGTCTTTAACAAAGTATTTTTGTTTTGAAAGTTTAGCGAAATATTATTATTTTAATGTGTACTGTTATTTAACATAACTAGTAGAAAACTTTAATTCCCTTATTATACAGTATTATTAGTCGTAACTACATTAAGTAAATTAAAGATTGCAATACTTGTTTTACAATGCATTTCTTTGTTTAATAGACAAATTTATTTCTTTTTTTTTAGTCATTATCAAATGAGATGAAAGATTGTTTTACAAAACTTATCGAAACAATTGTTGCAATCTGCTCACTGTGCAATAAGCATTAGTACAAAACTATTATATATACATAATTATTTTATAAAGTTAATTATTAATATAAAGTACAAATAGCAATAAGTAAATTGTTATGTATTATTTTTAATTTTTATATGTTGTTTTCCCTTTGTATCTCAATATGAATATTCCATCATACATATGTAATTAAGTTCGATATATAATGTAATTAATAAATATATAAAATGTATTTCTTACATTCAATTTTCACTGTATTAAGGTGCTTTTTCATGCGCAGCACGCTGCAGCAGCAATTCGTTACTATTGGTTAAGAATTTTATGTAAGCTAGATGACGCACTTCCGGCGCAAAATACATTTTGCCGCAGTTCGTTGAAGTTGAACCGAACGAACAGCAAGCAGCAAGCGGCAAAATCGAGAAAGCGTACAATATGTCCGTCGTTTCATTATGAAAATATTATTTATTGCAATAAATATTAGGAAAATAAACGAAAAATGGCTTCGGATAAAGTACGGATACTTGTTTGTAAATTAGATCATTTTATACTTTACCACAAATTTGAAAAAGTAAAGTGTAAAGTATAAAATAATCTAATTTACAAACATTCGTACCTTATCCGAAGCCATTCTTCGTTTATTTTCCTAATATTTATTGCAATAAATAATATTGCCTCGATTTTGCCGCTTGCTGCTTGCTGTTCGTTCGGTTCAACTTCAACGAACTGCGGCAAAATGTATTTTGCGCCGGAAGTGCGTCATCTAGCTTACATAAAATTCTTAACCAATAGTAACGAATTGCTGCTGCAGCGTGCTGCGCATGAAAAAGCACCTTTACATCTTACATCCACTGCAATTAGTAAGTATTGATATGATAAAATATACACATTTATATGATTTTCTAACTTTTATTATTTAGTTTTTAGAATTATTTTTAGAATTAGTTACATCAGGCATGGAAGAGGTTTAGATATCAAAACGCAGTTACAAAATATAAGCTTTATTCTTGAAAAAATAATAAAATAGTCAATGAACTTTAAAACAACAGTAAAAAGAATGTTTATATGTTTATTTATCTATTAGCATTTCCAAAACAAAATTGATAAATTTTATAACAAAAGTAAGTAAATATCAAAATGTGAATTTTAGAAAACTAAAAAGATATGACATATTTTTAGTTTTATGACATATTTAAAACATACTATTCGTTTTGAACTCAATTATACGCTGTATATAGGTACAATAATAAAGTTGTTAAGGAGAATAAGAAAATTAACTTTTTTTAAAACACGTTTCATCTTCATGGAAGGACATATAATAAATGAATACGTCAGTACAATTACATTGGCTGTGTTCAGTAGACTCAACAGTTTTGCAACCGTTTTATGATTCTCTGCTGAGATAGGACCATTCTTCTAGATCTAAAAATATGATCTAATCAGCACAGAGAATCATAAAACGGTTGCAGTACTGTTGAGTCTGCTGAACGCAGCCATTGCGATACCTTTTCAAAATGATCTGACATTTTTTTCTTTAACAAAAATGATTTTATGTAAATTGAACAAAATATTTTAATTATCGATTCTTCTGTTGAAGTAAAAGTATATTATTAAATCTTTTAATTATATAAAATTAAACTAAGATATTCAATACTATTTAATTTAAAGGAAACAGCTAGTTTTTCTCATAACAATCATTAGTTTTTCTAACAAATCTGACAGTAATATCTTAAAGCATAATTTTTCATAAAGAATGATTTCCACATTAAATATGTTGCCATTGAAACGATATGCTTCCTTCTTCAGACATAAAATAACGAGCTAAAATGTCACGTTGTCTCATAGTAACTGCGCCAATATTTGCACCAACTCGTCCCAAATTAATCATACATTCGTTGTTTGTTGCTAAATTTCGCCAATTTCCAGGTATTATATTTCCATTAAATTCTTCTCTATCTGCGATACCAGGCTGTATATATAAATTGTTATTCGATGCTGTAGTTATAATAAAATTATGCAAACAAGTCACAGCTTGTATTATTGTTTCTGCAGTGTCTACTTTTAAACTTATGGGCGTTCGTAAAATTCTCCATCTTGAGGTAAGAATACCAAAAGCATTTTCTACAATTCGGCGTGCCCTTGATAATCTATAATTAAACACTTTCTGCTCATTGCCTAACAAGTTTCGTTTTGCATACGGACGCATTAAATAAGTTTTAAGAGGGAAACCCTCGTCACCAGCCATACAAAATGGTAGTATAATGTTTGCATAGGGTATAGGACGTGCTTGTGGTATTGAAATTGTATTGTTTTCTAAAGCATGACACATGTCTGTGCTGGACCAAATACCAGCATCATTAAGAGAAACTACAGTAGAAATATATTACAAGAATTTTAAACGAATTTCACTGATATATAATATGACATGTTAAACATACCATAATTTCCAGTATCCACCCAGATAAAACGATATCGTGCATCTACAAGGCCCATTAATATAAAGCTGAAGTAGCCTTTATAATTATGGAACATACTATCAGAATGTGCTGGAGCTTGAATGCGACAGTGTTTACCATCAACTGCTCCTATGCAGTTAGAAAAGTTCCAGATATTATAAAATTTGTCAGCTATTTTTAACCATTCTTCTTCGTTACGTGGACATTGCAGATATAATGGTTGTAAAACTTCCCAAATGGCTTTGCATACTTCAGGTATAATACTATATAATGTTGATCTTCCTATACGAAATAAATGTGCTGTACTCATAATGCTATCTCCATGGGCTAAGAAACTGAAAAATAATGAATATATCTTTAAATCAGTAGAAATCATATACATTATATATATATACATTGTATATATATAATGTATATATAATATGTATATATATATACACACATTCCAATATAAAAATAGTTTACAATAAATTATGATTCTGTGTACAAACTTTAATGTCGCAGCAACACAAGTTTCTGCTGATAAAGGCTCTCTGCGACTTTTCTTTTGCAGCTTTGGCTTTAAGAGATCATGTAAACTGTTAAATTGTTCCACTGACATCCTTGTAAAAGAATTCTTCATGATCACTTAGTTTAAAATATCTGAATAATCTTGCATAGCCACCATAATTATTTCTCATATGTAAAGAGATATGTGGCTTCACCCACCATCTCCTCCTCATTTTTCGTCTTTTTTTAAACAATATAATTATTTTTAAAAAATATTCCCAAATTGTTAAGAAATTATAATAAATAACTATAGTTTTATCCATAACCTTCATATCAATACTTTATATCGTTCAGCAGACTCAAGCGTTGCGGAGCGGATCCGTGAGCGCTCGCTGCTATTGGTATATTCTTTTAGATCATCCAATAGCAGCGAGCGCTCACAGATCCGCTCCGCAACAGTTGAGTCTGCTGAACGCAATCAATGGGCGCATTCAGCAGAAAAGAGCGCTACGGAACTATCTGCTGAATGGCGCACTTTTCGCATCGCTCTCTCAACATGTTGTGGGAGCGGACGCCATCTTATTGAGCGGAAATTTTTGTCGCTACTTTGATAGAAGTGATCGCTACTTGAACGAACTGCAACGAACATGACTGAATATTTCGAGTGTGAATACGATTATAATGGCTTGCGATATAATATTGTGGAATCTTTAGAGGTTCACAATCGATTAAATAGTGGTACGTACAATTAACCCCAAATATATTAAGTTATGTAGACTGCAATTTGTAATATGTGTTGCTTTGGAATTGTTTAATAAGTAAAATTCGAATTTTTGTGAAGTTAATAATAATAATGTTTAAACAATCTCTTTCATTGCGATTTCATTCTTTAATAATAAAATATGCAAAAATTATAAAGACGGGTAATCAATAAATGTTATTTAATCTCATATCAATAAATATTATAATTAATAAATATTTTCTTTTTCAGATTCAAATTTTTTAAATTCTTATATGAAAACCAACATGGGTTGCTTGGAAGCTACTGCATGCGATGAACTTTCGAATAATAGCATCTCTCAAACTGAAAGTGTAAATCACTGTATGAGTAGTAAGTCATTTAAATGAAATATTTATTCATAATCAATTAGTAATCAATTTATCATGCATAATTAATTATGTTAAGGTGCCTTTTTATGCTGACACTTGACGTTCATTTTCAGCGTCAAAACAGATCACGTGATAAGAATTGACGAATAGCAAGTGTCCATTTTAATCACGTGACCTATTTTGACGCTAAAATGAGCGTCAACATGAAATGGTACCTAATGCCTGGTTTATGCTTCAGGTCTTAATCCCAAGATCATAAAATTCAACCAATAAAGCTGCCAGTTCTAACCGAAATTTGAACTCTATTGGCTGAATTTTAGGATTAAGACCTTAAGACCGAAGCATAAACCAGGCATTATACATAAATTTGATTGTATTTTATTTCGCATTTCATTATGGTGCGTGTTTTATATTTTAGATTCTATTAATATATCAGACGAGGAAAGTACGGTGCACCATACTTGGACAGTCCAGAGTACAAAGCTTTTGTTGGAACTTTTTAAAGAACGCAAAAACAAGTTCCGTGATCCAAAAACTAAAAAAAGGACTTTGTGGACGAATATTATGAAGGAAATGCAAAACATGGGTTATACGGACGTAAACGAGGATATTCTTGATCGAAAACTATGGAACTTAAAGAAAACTTACCGTTCTATTAAAGATAATAATAAAAAAACCTCAACAGGAAGAGGTAGAATTACGTGGGAATATTATGATATTTTCGAAGATATATTTTCTGATGATCGGACCATAAACTTCGGTTCGACAATATCTTCGTTCAGTCAAGTCACAGACCAGGGATTTGCAACTATGTCAAGACCAAATAGCATTTCAACAAATTTTAGCCGCTTCACACCTTCTCCGCAGCTTGCACCTGCAAAGGTTATACCAACACAAAGTAGCCCAAGCAGCATTTCGACAAATTTCAGCCGATCCACACCTTCTCCACAGCTTGCACCTGCAAAGGTTATACCAACACAAAGTAGCCCAAGCAGCATTTCGACAAATTTCAGCCGATCCACACCTTCTCCACAGCTTGCACCTGCAATGGTTATACCAATACAAAGTGATCTCTCAATGAACTGCACTCCTACTCTACAGTCGAATGCAAGATCTTCGCCATTGTCTAATCCGATTGCTGTTGATTCATTTACAGAATTAGATATTGATGTCAATAGCAATAATTCTAATTGCATGTCAGAAAATGAATATTTGAACGTTAGGCCAAGTTCAACAGAAATGTCAGATCCAGTTTCTGGACGTTGTACTTCATTAAAAAGTGGCCAAAAAAGGCGAGACTCAAAGGAGGTTTACAATATGAGAAAAAAATTGGTTGCAGTTGAGGAAGAACGAATAAAAGCGATAGAACAGTTAACAAAAAGTGTCGAAGAAAACAATTCAATTCAAAAAGAAAGAAATGAACTTTTAAAACAATTTCTTACAAAAATGTAACTATGTAATGTTAATAATAAATTTTTATTTTTACATACATATGTGTGTATATTTACTTCATTTACACTTTATTTACTTTGTATATTTTAACTCTATTTTCATTACTTTATATACTTGATTTACAAATTATTTGCAATATAATTTCTTTTTTCAACTGCTTCTCGAACTACAGATAGATGTTCAGTTGTTTCCAGTGCATGGGCATAATCTGTAGGAATATCATCATTATTATTATCTTCATCCATATCGTCGTATACGGCTCCATTGTCATTGTCAATTATAAAATTATGGAGCATACATGTAGCGGCTATTATATTATTACCGAATTCTGTATCGGCTATATCCAAATATTTAAGACGCCGAAATTTTCCTTTTAGGAATGCAAATGACTGTTCAATAATTGAGCGAATTTTACTCAATTTCATATTGTAGCACACTTGAGATGGAAGAAGGTGTCCATTATCCCGAAATGGAGTCATTAGATTGACCATCAAAGGATAGGCACAATCTCCAATCAAATGTTGATTGCGCTGAAGAAGTGGATTTTGTTGATCTGTCAACTTCCGAAAGAGTGGACTATTTCTGAATACACGTGCATCGTGCATTCTTCCCGGCATTCCAATAAATACATCAATAAAGCGTTTGGAATGATCACAAACTCCTGCAAGACAATGTTCCTTATTACTATAAAGTAAAACTGTTGTTTAATTTTAATTTTAACTTAAAAAATTTTAAATGTTTGCCTTTACCTTGTAATATAATCGAATGAAATTGTTTTCTATTAAAAAAATCAGTTGCATTTTTAACTGGTTGCTTTATCGGGATATGGCATCCATCAATGGCCCCAATAACGTTACTTATGCCATGAGAACGTTCTTCAAATATCTAAAATATAAAATGATTCTTAATTAACATATGTTTGTATGTTTCAATGATTGGCCATTTTACGTATTGTGGCATTAATTCTCCAAAAGCATTAACAATGTATTTAAAAATACCATGTCCGGAACTTGTTGGTATACAGAATCGATCACCAACTGCAAGAAATGACTCTTGCTTACTCAGCAACCAAATTGTGAACAATATCCTTTTTGAAAGAGGAATATTGTTATATGGTTCTATATCTGCGTTTAGAAAATGATTTCCTATTACATTTAGTAATGTCTGAAATGTAAAAATTGTATAACTTCAATAAATACATTTTAAATATATATTATTATACATATATATATTAATATACATATATTATTGAGAAATAATTCAAATACATATGTACATACATACCTCAAAAGTAATTCGAGACATTCTAAAATGTTCTTTAAATTGGATATCCGTATAGGACGGAATAGTTATTTCAAAATATTCTTCATTTCGTGATTTTTTGAGACAACGTAGTCTACCTTGCAACATTTCGATTTCTGGCAATGGTGCAACAAGATCGAAAATATTTCTGATTATGTTTATGTCAAGTCCATCATCAATCATAAATTGAAAAATCACGTTATTCATTATTTATTAATTTTTTTAATAATTAATATTAATAAATCAATGTTAAATACGTTTTTACGATTTTCACTAATATTGTAAGCATAAATATAATACTATCCAGATGAAAGTAGGTTACGTTAGGTTACGTTGTAGCTTGTAGCAGAGCATTCAGAGAAATTAAGCGCTCCCTCTGTGAGCGCTCTAGTAGCGCTCTTTTCTGCTGAATGTGCCCAATACGACTTATAGCGCATTTCACTGGCTGCACTGGTGCGCACTGAGTGCGCACTAGACGAGAGCAGCGTGTTTCACTGAGCGTTTCGGTGCGCACGAAAACGGTGCGCGTTGTTTCACTGGGAAACTTGGTGCCGAGTTTTTGCACTTTAGTGCGAAAATTTAGCACGAGCTTCATGAGACGGTGTCGGTTTAGTGCAATATGGCTGCACGGCAGGAAATAGACAATTTCAAAAGTCGATTTGCCTTTGAGCTGCTTGAGTTAATGTCATCATCATCATCTAGTAGTAGTGATGAAGATGAATTCTTTAAAAATCCACATAAAATTCGAAAAATTGAAAATTTTATAGAATTAGTGCATGGAATGACGGATAAAGAGGTTATACACACAGGCATATTACTTTTTGTTATTATTAAAATACATTTATTTTTATTTATTATTATTATTAATATTATTAAGAGTATATATATTTGCTACACAAAATAGATTTATTCTACATAAGTATATGTTCATATATGTGTATTATTGTTACAGTTTAAAAGTCATTTTCGTGTTAGCAGAAGTACAGCCTATAAAATAATCGATATTTACGCTAATTCACAATTCTATCCGTCTGATCGAACCCACGGAGGTAGTAAACCTACCTCTGCTGAACTGCACATATTGTTATTTTTATGGTATATTTCATATGTACATATGATTTTTTGAGACAACGTAGTCTACCTTGCAACATTTCGATTTCTGGCAATGGTGCAACAAGATCGAAAATATTTCTGATTATGTTTATGTCAAGTCCATCATCAATCATAAATTGAAAAATCACGTTATTCATTATTTATTAATTTTTTTAATAATTAATATTAATAAATCAATGTTAAATACGTTTTTACGATTTTCACTAATATTGTAAGCATAAATATAATACTATCCAGATGAAAGTAGGTTACGTTAGGTTACGTTGTAGCTTGTAGCAGAGCATTCAGAGAAATTAAGCGCTCCCTCTGTGAGCGCTCTAGTAGCGCTCTTTTCTGCTGAATGTGCCCAATACGACTTAAATGTAGAATAGATGTCGGATCAAGTTTCCGTTTTACGACGTACGATGTACGATTAGCGTATACCAACAGCGACTACGGCGAATTGTGTAACAGGCTTAAGGAAACGGAACGAAACACATGCATTGCGCATCCGTGATGCGAACCATGCGTTCTATGCGAGAAATGGAACGCATTCTACATTAGTGCGCATTGAGTGCGAACTTTTTTGGTGCCACGCATTCCGAATGTGCGCACCGTATCAGTGCGCTTATAGCGCGTTTAACTGGCTGCACTGGTGCGCACTGAATGCGCACTAGACGAGAGTAGCGTGTTTCACTGCGCACGCTGCGTTTCGGTGCGCACGAAAACAGTGCGCGTTGTTTCACTGGGAAACTTGATGCGAGTTTTTACTGGGAGTGCAAGAAACTCGCACTACACGAGGTTTCGACAACCTCGTGTAGTGCTGCTACTACTTAAACGAGCTTTTGGTGCGCACTCAGTGCGACCCAATGAAACGCGCCATTAGATTATCGTATTCGGCAAATAAAAACTGACCTAGTGTAGTGCTGAATTTGTATTCGGACCAACCGAATGAACCAAACAAGTGCAAGAAATATTGCACTGACATTTTTGTCAGTGCAGTTTGGTGTTTGGACAAATAAAACTAGTTAGGCAGCAAAAAATTACAAAATGGATAAAGAAAGACTATTATTTATTATAGATAAATTATTAGAAACAAGTAGTAGTAGTAGTGATGATGAAGATATGTTATGTTTAATAAAAGAAAGACCGAAAATTAATTAAAAATAAAAAAATTTAATTATTATTATTATATTATTATTATTAATTATTATTATCAATTAAAAATTAAATTATTAATTAAATTATTAATTAGTGTAGTTTTGCACTCGCACCGTGTCAGGGCAGCACTAGAACCGTGTTAGTGCATAACTAAATTTATGCTTTTCTTAGAAACAGTTTATAACAATTGTAATAATTAATAATAGTTTATAATAGATTCAGTACTTGTTGCCTTTTCAATTGAACTTCTAATTCTTTAAGTTGTACATCTAATTGTACGAGTTTTAATTTTTCTTTGGTTATTTTTAATTCTGTTTGCAAGATTTCTTTTTGCGTATCATTCGTTTCTTTTTTCATATGTATTTCTACTTCTAAAGCTGTTTTTTGTAATTGCACTAATTCTTCTTTTGCATTTGCTAATTTAACAATATTGTTTTTTTCGGACGATTTTGAAAAATTTTCCATTTTTAGTTCCTTGCTGACTTTCTTCTTCAAAATATCTTTTGCTTGTGAATACTTTTCTGATGAAGTAGAGGCTCCTGAAGGTAATTGCTTCTTTATTATAGGCAAAGTATCATTTTCCTTATCTTTTGAAGTGAGTGCTGTCTATGAATTTAAAATAATGCTGTTACAACTAATTTAGAAAGTTAACATAATTTTATAATGTTAATAAATATTATAGTACACATCGTATTACAATATATACCATAATATATATTAACATTATAAAATGACATTTACTTTCTCAAGTTTACTACCCAATAGATATTTAACCATGGAACAACGACTTATTGCTTACCCGGTAGGTATACTTTACCTGTGAAGCAATCAACCATCAGGTAGAGTCATTTTACCAAGAAGTTGGAACAATCGGCCCTCTCAATGCTGGTAGAAACAAATCAGTACTGCTAACTCTCTAACCTAAGGTTTTCTGTTAACCAAAGTTTTAATAACCTACGGTTTAAAATAGTAATTGCTTCTAAGTATTCTCGCTTTCTTTTCGTAGATTCGTTATTTCCTACGTGTTTCGAAGAGGATGCATTTTCTGCCTGCAAACATAGACTAAAAATTAGTAAGTAAAATAAAAATAAATATTTTTATATGGCCAAAGATGTTATCTTACCTCATTACTATCACAATAGAGAATGTCGACCTTGGTCGTGTGTCATTCATTGAAGACTAATGGCGAATTTGACAGACTACACTAGTGCGCATTGAGTGCGAACTTTTTTGATGCCACGCATTCCGAATGTGCGCACCGTATCAGTGCGCTTATAGCGCGTTTAACTGGCTGCACTGGTGCGCACTGAATGCGCACTAGACGAGAGTAGCGTGTTTCACTGCGCACGCTGCGTTTCGGTGCGCACGAAAACAGTGCGCGTTGTTTCACTGGGAAACTTGATGCGAGTTTTTGCTGGGAGTGCAAGAAACTCGCACTACACGAGGTTTCGACATTAGATTATCGTATTCGGCAAATGAAAACTGACCTAGTGTAGTGCTGAATTTGTATTCGGACAGAGTAAGATCTTGAATTTTTGGAGTTCCTCCGCCAGTTTTAAACATTTCCGCTTTATTTTTTGACAATTTTTTCTTTAAGTTTTTTTTCATATCTTCATATTTTGTTTTAACGCTTTTTTTCTTTCGGTAAGTCTCTGCACAACGAGAATTTAAAAACTGAACGAGTGCAAGAAATATTGCACTGACATTTTTGTCAGTGCAGTTTGGTGTTTGGACAAATAAAACTAGTTAGGCAGCAAAAAATTACAAAATGGATAAAGAAAGACTATTATTTATTATAGATAAATTATTAGAAACAAGTAGTAGTAGTAGTGATGATGAAGATATGTTATGTTTAATAAAAGAAAGGCCGAAAATTAATTAAAAATAAAAAAATTTAATTATTATTATTATATTATTATTATTAATTATTATTATTAATTAAAAATTAAATTATTAATTAAATTATTAATTAGTGTAGTTTTGCACTCGCACCGTGTCAGGGCAGCACTAGAACCGTGTTAGTGCATATGTATCGAATGTGCCATAAGACTAAAGCCCGATCTACAATTGCGCAAACGTAGTTGTAAGTGGTTATAGTTATAAGAATTGACAGTCGAATATTCTCCTCGTATTCAACTGTGATTAGTCAATTCTTACAACTACAACTATGTTTACGCAATTGTAGATCGGGTTTAAGACTAGTTACTTCATAGGCAAAGCAGATAACACATATATAATAACCAAAGACATAGAGAATGGACTGCGCGATCCCGTATCTAAAAGTAGTATCAAAATGTGTCGACGAAAATGAGAGAGAGGGTCCGTGGAAGACGGTCATCTGTATCTTTTTCCATTCGATGGTGTAATGGAAGAGAGAATTGGCTGCGTTCAGCAGAGAAAGCAGCTTTGCAACTGTTGTAAAATTCTTTAATATGATTGGTCTTGCCCTTACTTCCTTATTACATCTAAATGTATAAGCCAATCATATTAAAAAATTTTACAACAGTTGCAAAGCTGCTTTTTCTGCTGAACGCAGCCAATGAGAGGGAGATGGCCGTCTTCCACGGTCCCTCTCTCTCATGCCTATCAATCATTTTGACACACGGATCGCGCAGTCCATTCTCTATGTCTTTGATAATAACAAGCTTATAACACATATGTTTCCTTATCTATTTTTGCAGTGTTCCTTGCACTCCCCCCCCACGCAAAGATCCACGTACTACATCCTATTGCCACTGTCTTTTTCACTCTATAGGATAAAAATACTAAAACAGATGGGCACGCAGAAATCATTCACGATTCTAAACAATATTTAAATATAAATTAATAAATTATAAATACTACATATGTATGCACATATACGATCCGTTTAAAAAAATGTTCAAAACAATATAAGCAATTCTTTTTACAACCATATTCTAACTAATTTTAACTATCGTATTCTGAATGCTGTTGAAAAAATTTCATTCGCATTCGCTGTACTTGTAATACTTATTTAAAACTTTCAATAATTCAGGTTATTTTGTCTTTACATCAAATTTGGTTGTAAGCGGACGTAAGCTTTAGTTGTATCGTTAATCGTGCATGTCGACTATGAGCATTAATGCAAAACAACTAATGCAGGTCACTTCTCAGTTTATGAAAATTTCCGAAGGAAAGAATCATTGCTGTTTGGTGTATGTACGTTTTGTTAAAGCCCGTTTGTTGTTACACCAATTCGATTAACGAAACGGTGATTTTGCACGAGTAATGCGGCGGACGGCGAGCAAAAAGAGGGCAGAAAGTTTCGTGAAGTTCCGTTAACCCTGCACCGCATCCGTGTTTTCCTCCTTCCTTTGCAATTACCGCGCAGATTTAATTGATGACGGGCCCTCTCGATAAGTTCTCGAACAGAACCGAACTGTGGTCCAAGTGCTCTCGAAACTCTCAAAACTTAAGAAGCGTTCAGTATCGCTGCACCAGCCCTCAATATCGGAACACCTAATAAGACTGCTCTAACGAGGACTTTCGCCGGGCATACTGCGCGCAATTTAATTATAGCGACCGCTTAATTATGTGGGTCGTACGTAATCGGTACTTCCGGTTTCCCGGTGCGCGCGAACTTTACGACACGGGAAACTCGGTGAATAATACGCGTATCCTCTAACATCTCTATTCAAAACTACTGTGAATCATCGATATGGTAAGAATATCAATGCTTGAAATGTCATCGAAATTCTTAATACAAATTCGACTCGACACGTGGGATTCATTGACATATTCATTTGACATATTATTTTGTTATTAATCGTAACAAATCCTATCTACATATATTATACAAAATGTTAAAAATTAAATTATCTAAAATTTAATTCGGTCTGACACACACTCACACACACATACACACATGATAAAAGGAAACTTACATCATTTATCTTACTGACTTATCATATCATGAATTTTGTATTATTAAATCGAGTTATATCGATCTCGCTGTCGATGTCACTGAGTCGTGTGTCAAAATCGTTGGGAATAATATCAAAAATATGACTGACGTTTTACGAGTTTTCGCACAGCCTCATATCTCCATTCATAAAAAGATTTTATCTTGGCGAAGCTTTTTTACGGAACAATGATAGCGCACTCTACTACCGCAGGTTATCTATGAATTGACCCAAGTTCATAAATAACTTGTTTTTCATCCTGATAATGTTAGAGGTATATATATATACATATAGTACCTATAGGAATGATTATCAAGTAACTTATACATTTTTTATGTGATGCGCTTCCCGAAAAAACGTCGTAACAATTGTAAAGGCATTTTTAGGAATAAATTTGTGTCGTGGAACTTACGCCATGCAGACAGGTTAAACGTGGTCCTTAAAATTATACCAAGTCATGGACGATCGATACGTACCGCCGTTTTGTTCATGCGGATGTCACGCACCGCGGCCGATAAAACCGATCGAATTACCGCCGCATGAGCCATGCTGTTGCTGCGATTACAACCCCTTTAGTGATAATTCTAAAGAATCGGAGATCTATGATCTGCCGTTTGCTTTACGAAAACTGACGGTAATGAAGTGCCAGATGAAGAAGTGGCGCATGGAGCGACTACAGCTCGAGAGCGAAAATAGGTCTCTGAAACAAGCCCTACGATCATTCGGTATCAATGTTCCATTTTATAGTCGAATCTTTCCTTTCCTTCCTTTACTTCCCTTCGCTATATTTCTTATACTCGTAGAATAAATTTTATAAGAAATTACCATTTGGGCTATATATACGAAGAGTAATTTTAATGCGGTACTTTTTTCTATGGAACGTTTCTATAATAAAGTCTATCCGCATATTGATTCCAGATATTTCGTGAAATATTAAATAAAATTCAGTTATCAAATTGAACGATTTTCCAATACATCATTACTTTATAGATTTCGTTTTGACGTTTTTTTATTATTAAGTTTCCGTAGCTCTATTGATGTGCACAGTTTACCGCAAACGCGATCCATGTTTTCTTAGTCATATAAAAGAGTGTATCGAATACATTTTGGGCGGTCAAATAATTTCCTTATAGGTGTGAAACCCGACGGAGTATTGGGTACTGATCCCTTGCTCGTGCATTACCGCGAGGAAAACGAAAGGCTGCAGAATGCAAATGAGGAACTGGCGGAAAAAGTTCGCAACCTCGAAGAGAGTCTCGCCGAACGAGATTGCTGCGACGATCCGTGCGAAAAAGTTAAATACGTGAGGGAGAAAATAGCAGCACTAAGAGATCGTTTCACTGCCGAAAAAAAACAGTACATAATAGCTATTGACTAGGAAATTTCGCTAAGACAGTTTAATGAGTCCTTCTTTCTGCATATTGTTTTAATAAACGGAAAAATAATTCAGCAATAAACAGAAGAAGAATGTTAAGGAAGCTCCTATAAAATTAATATTATTTAAATTAATCGTTCGAGAATTATCATAATAGTTAAAACAGGCTTCTGTTTTATACTTTGCGAAGTTGTTGTATATAGCTTTGAAAGGAGATTAATCTCAGCTCGTCGGTTGCGATATTTCCTTGAAAACCATCTATCTTCATTAAATACGATACGCCAATATAATTACGTGCAAACTGTTGATATCGTGACAGAATGCGAGACACGATATCGCATCTGAAGTTGAAACTGGTAGAAGCCGAAGAGGATACTTCCTGTGCTGCATTAAATCGTTTGAGGGCAAAGCTTCGTGAGTTAATGAAAGATGGTCAGAAGGCTGATCAACAGGTGTCCGTGGTTGTCGAGAGATCAATGCAGACATCGGCAGATCTATCAAAGAGCTACGAAGATCTATTACGAACAGAGCGCCTGCAAGCTGAACTGACGCAAATTCGTCGTTCAATGGAGGAAGTTGTTACACCGGTCTCAGAAGAGATTGTCGTTCCTCTACCTGCAGATGTGGAAGAAGAGGATATACCGGTACTGTTAAGTCAACTTCGTAATTGCAGAATGCTCCTGGCTGAATTGAAAATACATTTGGATGAGAAGACGGCTTACGCGGAGGCTCTACGAAGCGAACTTGATCAACAGAAAGCTGCCATCGTCACACCGCCCTTAGATTTGGATGAGATAATCGTCAAACCACCGATCGAGATAAAGGAAGAACCTAAGAAACCTGAAAAACCTGACGAGGTATCTCTTTTTATTTCTTTACGTTTGTAAATGTAATAGGTTGCATGTACAATATGTATGTTAAAAGTCATGTATGTTTTACACTGACATGTAAACTCCTGTTTCGTCGAGATGAGACAAATGCTAGAGGATGTTTATACTTGTCTAACTCCGTAGTAGTATTCATGACAATTGGGTATTTGTTCGCAGATTACTGAGCTTCTCGAAAGCCTGCGGCAGTCGGAACTGTCTGTGCTGGGCGTGAATAAATTGCAGAGCGAGATCGAAGATATGAGGTCCCAGTTGTATAATCTTAAGACGGAGAAAAAGGAACATCTCGATGAGCTGAAAAAGATACGGAGTGTGGTATCCGAGAAAGACCATCAAATAAGTGAATTGAGTAACGAATACGAGGTTCTGAAGAAACACGTTGAAAGACTGAGGTCCGAATGCGACGAATTAAATATTAAGAATACATCGTTAGAGAAGGAAATCCGGAAAACAGAAGAATTGAGTAGAGTGAAAGAGGAAAATAACGAGTTGAAGAGCGAGATCGATAAGTTGAACGTTGACCTGCGTCGCGAGGAAGAAAAATTTCAAGTAGCGCAAAAAGAGCTAGAGGGCATGAGAGACGATTTGCATAGTCTCGGAGCTGAGAATGAATTCTTGAAGGAGACATTGGAAAATGCAAAATTGGAGACTAACGAACTTAAAGAAGAAAATGTTGCTCTGAAAAACAATCTTGATAACATGATTAAGGAATTAGAATCTTCGAGAAGAGAAAATAATAATATCAAGACAAAGAGAGATCAATTATTATCTGAGAATAAGTATTTAAGAGATGAATTAGAAAAACAAGTGGCGGAGACGAATCAATTAAAATCTGAAGGGATTGCATTGAAGGATGGTCTCGATAGACTGTTACAAGAAATGGACAGATTAAAGGTTGAAAGCGATAAACTAAAGGACGAAAGTGCTGCTGTTAAAAGCGAAAGAGACAATCTGACAACGGAAAGAAACAACTTGAAATCCGAGAATGGTCTTCTTAAAGACGACTTGTCTAAAACAAATGTAGCGTTAGACGACGCAAAGAAACAATTGAACAAATTTAAAGTCGAGAATGGAGTTCTTACAGAAGAATTGGAGAAGGCTAATGTAAATAATAACAAGCTACTCGCGGACTTCAATACTTTGCAGAGCGAAATGGCAAAGTTGAAGTCGGAGAACAGAAAATTGTTACAAGAAGTGGATGATGGGAAAGAAGAATTAACAAAATTATTGTCCGAAATAGAAACTTTGAAAAAGGAGGTAGATAATATGAGTAATAAATTGACGAGGGCAAATAACGAAGTTGTAGATTTGCAGCAGGAATCGGTTGAGTTAAATAATAAACTGAGAGAGACAAAAGTTATAAATGAACAACTAAAGGCAGACATTCACCAAACAGAAGTAGAGAACAAAGATATTAAAACAAAAATGAATAATTATAAAGATGAAAACAGCAAGCTAAACACAAAACTAAACGAACTAAAGGAACAAATAAATTTATCGACGGACGAAGTAAATAAATTAAGAGAACAACTTGACAACACCGAGGATCGGGTTAAGTTTCTTGAGGCTCAACTCGTTAGTTTACAGACTGGTAAGGACAAGATGCAGAATGAGATCAACGCTTTGCAAAATGAGATCAGCAAACTGAAATTAGATCTAAGTGCAGAATCTACTGCTAAAAGAGACATTCAGGAGGAATTAGTGGCATTAAAGAATGAAATGAAAAATTTGATCTCAAAGATCGATGAGATGAAGGTGCAGAATTATGCCCTAAAAGAAGAGAGAGACGCTCTCAAGGAAGAACTGTTGAATCTGGGTGAGGAATTGTTGAGCCTAAGAGCTGCGAATGCTGAGATGATGAACCAGATTAATAATTTAAGAGCGGGTACATCTGATCTTCAATCGCAATTATCTAAAGCGGAAGAAGATATTGAATATTGGAAGTTGGAAAATTGCAAGCTTAAGATGGGCTCAGATAAGTTAGCCATCGAGAATGAAAAGACAAAGGAAGCTTTAAACGTCTGTAAGGTAGAGATAATTAGTTACGTATTTCTCCTGTAACTTCTTGTGCCTTTGATAATAATCACATTGAAATTCATAGGTTGAACATCAAGCATTAGAGAAGGAGATAACGAATCTTAGAAATGAGAAGATTAAGCTCGAAGGAGAAATGGCGAAGCTTAAAAATCTGTTAGAAGAATTAGATCTGTCTTCATTCGCCGAAAAGTCTGCTAAAGAAGAGGCTGTGGAGGAACTGATGAAGATCAAGAATGAAGTCGTTGCTTTGAGAGAGGAACTTCAAGCATTGAAACCTGAATTGACTAAGTTAAGAACAGAGAACGATAGGATAAGAGATAAGGAGGAAAGCCTATCCCGTCAAGTATCAACATTAAAGACAGAACTTGAAAACACAAAAAATGAGATATTAGCTTTGAGAGCCGACAATAACACATTAAAATCTAGAACAAATATATTAACAGATGAGAATAATAAATTAAAAAGCGAGTCAAATATGCTGATATCTGAAGTTGATAGTTTAAAACTAGAAAACACGAGTCTGAGGGAAGCACGACAGAAATTCGAGAAAGAATTTAGCAAACAGAAAGACGAGGATGATAGGCAAAAAGATGAGATTAAAAATCTAAAATCTAACTTGATAGCCGAACAGAAATTATCAGAAAAAATTAGATTGGAATTATCTACTAGTCAATCGGAAAACGATAGATCAAGAATGGAATTGGAAAAACTGCAAAAGAATTTAGATACTCTTGAATTAGCGAATGACAAGTTGAACAGCGAAGTAGAGGATTTAAAGAAAACGTCGATCGACGCGCAGAACAAGGTGAACGCATTTCAGTATCATGTGGCTGCGTTGCTAAAAGAGAAGGAGGCACTTCTGAACGAGTTAGATGGTTTACGAGCGGAAGTGAGTAGATTAGGTAAAGAAGTTGTATCGGATAAAGTTGCGAAGGAAGCTACTGAGAAAAAGACGATCGTTTCTAACGACGAATTAATGGAGGAGCTAAAGGCAGAACTAGATAAAATGCGCGTGGAAAATGAAAGTTTGAAGCGTGAACTAAACGACGTAAATAAACGACATGCTTCTTTGAAAGACGAGAATGCTGCTCTGAGAATCGAAAATACTAAAATAGCAACAGATCTCGATTTCTTCAAGTTGGATTTAACAACAGCTAGGAATGACCTAGATAAGTCTAAGAAACAGAATAACGAGTTAAAAGCAGAAATCGATAAATTGGAGAAAATATTTGGTGATGCCGAAACAAAGATTAAATTTTTGGAAGGACAGCTTGTTGACTTGTCGAATGAAAAAGAGAGGCTCGAAAAAGAGATGAGCGACGTGAAAGTTCGTACTGCGATTTCAAAGGCCGATGATGCACATGCGCAGTTTGATGATTTAATTAACGCTCTGAACGCAGAGAAAATAGATAAGGCTGCCTTAAAGGATTCCTTGATTCAATTACAAGACGATCTGAATAGATGCAGGGCGGACAATGAACGACTAACAATCGAATTAGCCGCTTCGGAAGCTCGAGCGTTAGCAATACAGAAAGAAAGGATCGAAACCGAAAACGGCGAATTGGAAAAAGATGATTTGATGAGAATAAAGACGGAGTATGATAAAGAGCGACAGGATTTACAAAAATTAATGATAGAAAACAAAGAATTGCGGGATGAGCTAAGAATGGCGCAAAGTGAGATCGATAAACTAAAAGAGAATATCCAAAAATCGAAAGGCGATTTTATAGAGGATGTTGCCGATATCGACAGCTTTGAAAATGAATTGAAGAAATTGATGATCGAGATAGACAAGGCGAGAGAAGATTTAAGACACGCCGCGGAAGAGAATAATAAATTAAAAATGATCAATGACGGTCTTGAATTAGAACTAGGTCGATTGAAAGCACTGCAGGACAAAATAAAAGATTTTCCTGAGCAAGTCGATGAAGTTATCGGGTCGAAGGATCAAATCCAAAGACTGTTTGCCGCAAATAATGCGTTGAAAATCGAAAACATGGACTTGAAATCCGGATTAGATCATTGTCAAGCGGAGAAAGAGCATTTAAACGATGAAATTAACAACTTGAACGAAAAGATCAAATTGCTGCAATCTCTTCCTTCTATCATAGGTTTGTATTTTGTCGATATACAATCCCACAATCAAAAGTTTGGAAACATGATTTTTCACATTTTAAAGCCACCTATCTTTGCTCATCAAAATGCGTGGTCGAAGATTTTTTACGATTTTTTTCACCGAGATATTTAACTTTCTGTAAAATGTAAAAAATTCGCAAGTGTCTCCAAAAATTTTTGTATTATTGGATAATATAGCGCGACAGTTTAAATCAATGAATATAATTTAGTTGTATAATGCGTTTCATTCATTCGGTGGTTTTTGGCGAGTCTTTTTCTCATTGAATTTTGTCGGCCGCGTTCACATTAAAGGAAAAACATCTTTGTAATTCCAGAGGCTGGCGTGATTAAACCGGATGAATGCGGCGACTTCGTTAAGGCGAATGAATTACTGAAGAAGCAAATTGAAAAGCAATATGACGGTAAAAACTTGCGTAAAAACTTTTTCAACTGTTTTGTCACTCCGACAGTTTTTATCGCACCGTAGAAACGCAGATTTCCTTATTCATAGCCCGTAATTAGTCCGGCTAATATCTTAATAAGTTAAGCATTTCCATAAACTTGCGACACTCGAAGGCAACATTTTGCAAATTGTTATATTCTATTAATTACTCAACGCCACCAAAACTCGCGCGTGCAGTTTGCACAGAAAACTAAATACTTGAACAAATTTTGTGATACATAGAAATTGTGATACAAGAACAAACTTTGATCACATAATTTCTTCAAGTTATAGTTCTGCATTTGTTTTCGCAATACAATAGCTGTGCAACGTGTGCGTGATTACATACAATTTGTGGATGGTAAAATTCCTGCGAGACCCACGATGGCGATAACGTTGGATGAAGATTTTGAAATCGAGCGCTGGACCGTACCATCTATCGTGGAATTATTAAAAGAATCGCAAAAGCTGTCCGAGAATATCTATCTGGCGGAAATCGAAGTTCAAAATATTGATAGATTACTCAAATTGCTTAAAGATTGCAAAAGAGATAACGAGAACTACATAAAACAATTATTGGTAAGATGAATAATAGCATCAATCCAGTATACATCAAACAATATCCTGTTTAATGATTTATTTGGAGGATAATTTAAATTTTCCGACTTGCATATTAACGCTGGAAATGAATCGTCTCTAGGAGCTTGGTGTAGAAGTTACCAAGGTTGCAGGTGTGGATAATGGTGATAAGCTTGCAGCTTTTGACCCTGAATCTTGGTTGAAGGTATGTACGTGCGGTGGTAAGAGTTCATTTTGCTAGTATACTCGTTAGCTTCTTTATATCTATTAAATCTCACTTTTCTCCGTATTGACGCGCAGTCCTTATAATAAATTGAAGTACTATTTCTATGTGTATGCATCTCAATATATATATATATATATATATATATATATATACAGGGTGTCCCATTTTAAAACTTCCACGTGATTATCTCAGAAAGAAGGCGTTTATCTAAAAAATGTTTCAGACAAAAGTTGTTTGACTCGAAGGGGGACGTAAGATGGTGCCATCGATTTGACCTTGGATAGTTCTCTGAAGGTTACGTGAAGATCACCTTTAATTTTTTAAATGGAATTATGTAAGTTTTTTTAGATAACGTGACTCCTCTAATTATTTTGCATATAAAAGTATTAAGGTAGAGATACCAAAAAACCAATAGTTTACGAGATATTTGACATTTTATTTTGGTACATATTGACACAAAATGTTAAATAACTCGTAAACTATTGGTTTTTTGATATCTCTACCTTAATACTTTTATATGCAAAATAATTAGAGGAATCATGTTATCTAAAAAAAAATTACATAATTTCATTAAAAAAATTAAAGGTGACCTTCACGTAACCTTCAGAAGACTATCCAAGGTCAAGTCGATGGCACCATCTTATGTCCCCCTTCGAGTCAAACAACTTTTGTCTGAAACATTTTTTCGATAAACGCATTCTTTCTGAGATAATCGCGTGGAAGTTTTAAAATGGGACACCCTGTATAATAGATAATTATAAAACAGATAAAAATATATCTGTATAAAATGCAAAGAACGATTTTATCGAAATAGCTTATTACAGATTTGAAAATATTTTTGTTCAACCATCAAAATAATCACATAGAAATTATAAATATAATGAACAACTGTAAAAGTTTTGACAATTTGGCAATTAGTTTGAGTGTCCTACATAATTATTTTGACGGTTCAACAAATTTATTTTCAGATTTGTATCTAGTTGAATTTTTAGATACTTCAACAAAACTATTTTTTCTTTGTAATGTAAAAATAATTTTTGAAATGGAAATCTGATTGTTAATACAAAAATTTATGTTTGTCGCTTTTAGTCTTTGACACTGACGCAATTAGCTGAGTTGCATGATAAAATCTGTCTGTTGACTTCAAATATGGTGCAACAAGATAGCAGACCCGCGGTGTGCGATCGTTCAATGATTAATCGAGACGGCGGTAGTGATCGGTTGCAAGCAGATTACGATGCTTTAAATCGGCGGATCGCCGCCTTGCAGAAACAAATAACCGAAAAGCAGATTGAGGCGGGATGGAAATTGCAGGAATTAAGACGAGCTCTTCGTATTGAACAGGCAAATCTGATTCAGATCTCTGACCGGATGAATCTCGAAAAAAGGCGCAACTTAGCCCTTCATCTCACCATGGACGATTCAGTATAATTTTCTTTCCAGTATCAGTAAACATGTTAAAAGTTACATTTACTTCGAGCAAGTTCTTGTCACTCGACGCGCAACACAAGGCAGATATTCTTTATATAATCTTTCTTTTATTAGAATATAAATAAAAATACAACGATACACAAGAATTCTGATATGTTTATAGAAATATATATAAATTAGAAAGAGAGAATAATTTAAGTACATTTAAAATCAACCATCTAATTATTTTGAATAATTTCTGTAACTGTAATAATGGAGAAGCCAAATAGGCATTCTTCAATTATTATAGCTCTTTCAAAAGACCTTGCCCGTTTCTATGTTCTCTTCCGCCACTGTCCAAATGGTGCAACAATCTCCTAGGCACATAATTGCGATAACGTACCATATTCAGCAACATCATGGTTTTGTTGCTAATCATGATCAAACAATAACAACTAATGAGAGCCGCTTGTTTCGCGGCGCATGCTTGTGCATGCCGCCACGTGCGATAACGTGATTTCCTGTTTCACATTTCGGAGGTCGCGTTGTTCGATCGAGATTAATTCAATTGTATCGTACCGCATCCGTTCCCACGACTTTACCCGGCCCGTCGATGCGACCGCCGACGCGTGGGTGTGCACTCGGGCTCAATAGGAAGGCGAATGCCGTCGACAAAGAGTAAACATATAATTGAAATGCGCGGGTAGATCAAACGGTAAATGAATTGTCGAAATCCGTTTAACTGTGTGTCCACCGCATGGAATTGAAATAAACTCATAAAACGCTGATAGCGAACCGCCGCATTAATGCGACACGATGACGGATTGCAAAAGATTTATCTTGTTCCCATCCCTCCTTTTTTGGACTGAAAGTTTTTCTTGCTCGAGTTACATATGTTTCCACTTATAGGTATATCCTCGCAGCTTGCAATCTCACATGATGTAACGAAGATCGTAAAACTAATTGCAGCAGGATGCTGCATGTACTCGTATAATCTTCGCGTTATACGAGTACGGTACGGTAACTGTGTAAAGTGACACTTTCTATTTCAATTCTCTCATCGAAGATAATTGCGTAAAATTGTAGCACTGAAATGGTTATGATTAGAATATATATAGATATAGATATATTAAATTTTAAATTTTTTAAAGATGAACACAGTGTGGACATACTTTATAAATGGAAACTTTTTAAAGATAAATACGTTATTTATTTAAAATGCTTATATAAACTTCTTCAATTGTTGGTGCATAAATAATGTATTTATTATAAAACAATATACCGTAATTTGTAAATAATTGCAATATCTATATTTACTTATCAACAAAGTTAACTGCAAACATTTCAACTTTGAATTTGAAAGTCATTCTTAGAAAATCTATTATCAAATACTAATAAATAATAGTTTGTACTTAATTTCTGCGTTGAGAGAAGGATTCAAATTCAAAGTCGAAACATTTGCAGTTAATTTCATAAGTACCTATTAGTTGTTTGCAAATTATATCTTATCGCACTATAAGTTGTATTTGCGTACTGACGTGCAGACTCATAAAAGCATTTTATTGTACAATGTATACTTGATTTATTCTTGAAGCAATAATATAATATTTGTATTTTTATTATAAGTTATTTATCTATGTATTTATTGCTTTATTAATATTATTTGCATATCAACAACCACAGAGGCTTATATAGATATTTTACATATATTTGATTTATTCTTGAAGCTACAAAATTTTTATTTTTTTAAAAGTTATTTATCTATATAATCTTCTTTTAAAGAAAATAATATCTTTGTGCAAAATGTATTTTTGTATAATTTTATTTTATAATTATCAATAATTTTGTACTATATATTTATAAAATTTTAGAAAGATTATATATACGTGAAGATGTAATCGTTAGTTGAGTGGCTTGTTCTTACTTCAAATGCGATGAGATTTCGTAACAACAGCGAAGATATGAGAGATATAGTTTCCGCCAACGTGGTATTAGTGAGAAATTGCGGCGGAAAGATTTATGTGAGTTTAAAAAATGACTTCGTGCATTTATGCGCTTAGTTCGAGCTTGTGCATCCAGCTATCTTGTGTATCTACCAGCGTGCAACTCATTGCATTTCCATATTTTCATTTCTATCTGAGATTGGGATTCTAGAATCGACGTTTAATTAAACACTTTGCTGTGGTACAATACAGCAACAAGAACATTCACGATTAAGTCGATTCTCCGGTAGTAATTAATCATACTTTATTGTATTATTATCAATACAGATGTTCGTCCATTTGTATCAATGTTTTAGATAAAAACATACTTTTTGATTTAAATAAAAATAAAATAATACAAATAAATTTTTTAAAAAAGTTTTTAACTCTTACATTCTCAATTTATCTTTATTTAACCGCAACATAAGAAATATTTCTTCACAGTTTTACACGTGTACTTTTTATATAATTTCAAAAAGTATGTTGGTATTAATTTTATAATTTCAATTTAGCTTCAGGGCTTTAAATGTGATTTTTAAATAATATAATTAAATTAAATATAATAACAAAATATAAGCACTGAAAAAAAGATTGTCTAAATATGTTAGCGTTTTTAATTGGTTGCAGCAACCAATTTTTTATTTCAATATGCGTACATCCAACATGTGTACTTAAAGTTATACTGTATTCTAGTAATTGGTAATATTCCATGTTCACCATTTCTATTATCGCAGTTTCTATCTTTTAAACTTTTGTAAATGTTTGTTCTGTATATCCAAAGAATTTTTCTCTATCACATAATAACTAGTAGTTTTTGAACATGGCCGGAGACACTACCGCGTCTTCTGATTGATATCATTCTAAGTGATTAATAAACTTGTATGTTATGTCAAAAGTAGTTACGTTACATGAATATTTGCTGAGTTTATTTCCAGTGTTGTACAAGGTACTTTATTTTTAGTATCTAAATATAACCTAAGGTACAGGTATTATCGAAACAAATATTTATGTAGATACATGTACCATTTTTAATGTATTCTAAGGTTCTTGAGTACTTAGTTACCACAATCATATTGATCGTGGAGAAACGAGAAATGATATTAATTAATTTTTATTACGTTTATAAATAAAGACAATTTGAATAAAACGAAATGATGAGATCGCTTTAAAACAGTTGTAAAAATAAACAAAAAACTATTCTTATCTCTCCGACAGTAAATAATCGTAAAAATGATAAAGTGCACGTGAAAGTGAAAATAGGCTATTCATACGTATTGAGTAAAAACATTTCAACTGCTTTTTATCGCTTTTTACAATTATTTACTGACTCAGGGGAAAAAAGAATAGCTTTATTTTATTTTTATATAATTCAATATAAATATACATATATATATATAAATAAAGGCAAACAGCCAGTAATGTAAAAATGGTTTTAATTTAAATAATCATAACATAAAAATTACATAAATAAACAAACATATGTTTCGACTTCGATTGGGTAATTTTCAATGTTACAAAAATTAATAAGAATCATTAAAATCTGAATTAAAAAATTCAGTAGACATCTTAATGTGTGTAATAAATTAGTTTGCATTCTTCATTTTATGTTTTTGATCAATAAAGTTTTGTTAATTATATGAGTAAAATGTTGAGAGTCCATTAATCAAAACACGAAGGTATCACACATCGTAACAGTGCACAAAATTATCGTTGAAATCTGAGCTAGTTTACAGGACTAAACATCTGATTTAAGTGATGTCAGATAATGTAATGTGAAGAAAGTAAGAATTTTTATAATTGTTTTAAAGTTATTTCATCATTTCGTTTTATTCAAATTGTTCTTATTTACAAATGACACGTAACAAAAATTAATGTGTCATTTGTCGCATCTGACGTTACGATTCAATGTAGCTGTGATAGCCATTATTAGGAGCCTTAAATGTATCTAACCTAGGTATAGATACTTTTATTTATTAACATAAAATTCCAGAATAAATGAAGTATTTATTTCATGTATCGATATACGTAATATTTACGTTTTATACGAATTTTATACGTATATACTTATAAATATTCTATGCAAATTTAACATGTACAATAAAATAAAATAACATTTATAAAGCCATTAATTAATTTTATTCAAATAATTTATTTATGTAACATTTATGCATTATGTTTCAAAAATATCAAACATTCAAAATTGTCGTTGGACAAATTATTTTGTTACGGCGTTAAAATTTATTTCTCTGTATTAAATGCACGTTCAACAGGCGCGAAGCTAAGTGAAAGTGTATTATATTTCATTTACATTTTTTAAATAATTGGATATTCTATTTATGTATGAAAGAATTTTTCAAAAAGTAACTGAAATGTACCTAAAATATAAGTATCGGTAGAATAAATTGTACCTAGGTATAAAGATATAAGTAAAGTCAGATAAAAAAAGTATCCTGCTACATACCTAAGTACTTGTATATACAATATCGCACAACACTGATTATTTTAGTAAAACAAAATGATATTCCATAACCTTCTTTTTTCATCTACAGAATATTGAAAATATGTGTATATAATAGAAAAAATTTAATTAGCAAATAATAATATTAAGGGATAACACCACTGTAAAGCGCGAAAATGAAGCGTGTTTTTGTGATTTTTTTTGGGTGGAAGGAAAAGAAAGAGAATAATGATAATCACGGATATTGTTAATCATGTTTCGAAGTGTTCAAAAAAATTTTTTTATTCAAAAAGATTACAAAATGGCAGCTCAGGAGTGATTCCCGCAAGTTAGGTATTATTCAAGGCGCTCCGCGGCAAGCAGCATAAGTGCCGCAAAAATGAATTTGGAACAAAATAAAAAATTTTTTCTTAATCTACATGAGTATAGCTAGAGAAGTACGTAGAGGATTTTGAAAATATTAATTTTTGTTTAATTGGTGGTCATTTGATATAAAGTTCGATTTGTGACCTAAAAAATGGGTACTAATTCGTACATATAAAATCTAAATTTCAACTTATCGAAAATCCGCTACGTACTTCTCTTCGGAATGTTGTTTTAAAGGTATGGTAAAAGGTTGGAGTGAAAAAAATGAAAACTGTTTCAGTTATGCTGCTTGCCGCATTGAAAAAACGTGTTTCGAGAAAAACGCGTTTAAAGTTTTGAGCTGTGTTATAGATATGAAAAAAAGAAAAATTCTACTATTACAAAATTTTTACCATTAATCTACAATCCCAGGACCATAAAGCTGCCCTTCTATGCGACATTTATTAATGTATTACGGAAGCTTGAAACCAACAAGTAAGTCATTAGGCAATACCTTCGCAGTAGGTATCCAACCGACGCAGGTAGTCGTTCCGATGCAGTCCGACGCGATCGATAAAGAGCTCGAAATTTCAAGGGAAAAAATTTGTTTCATGGATTAAACTTTTTTCCCGTATTCTCCAAGGTTCAAAGGATTTTTTAAGCAAGAAAATAATTTTTCAAGTTTTTGAAAATTTTACAGTGGTGTTACCTCTTAAATAATAATATAAAAATAATTAATATAAAGCTCTATAAGTATAAAACAATATAAAAGGAGCAAAGAGCCAACGATATAACGAACAAAAAACTTTAATTCGTTTGTGGTAAAAGTTAACGTTGGAATATTTTTTGTTCGCGAACAAGAGATATTCCAACGTTAACTTCTGCCATAAACAAATTATAGTTTTTTTGTTCGTTATATCGTTGGCTCTTTGCCTCTTTTTATTTATAAAAATAATTTTTCACTAAAATAAAGAAATTAACAAATTAGCCCTCTTGACAGTTCTTGTGAGGTATTATCGGTAATTCTAGTGTTAAATGCATAAGTGCTCTCTGTATTAACATAAAGAAATCTTTATAATTATTTATAAGGAACTAATATCAATTTAGAGAGAGAGAGATGAAAAAATATAGTGTAAAAGATTTTATTTTATAATTTATAATACATAACTGTATAACTATATACTGAGAATGAAAGAGTTGAATTTAGAATTGACAGGTAGTTATAATTAATTCGTAAGGTAAATTTAAATAAAATTATTAGGATATATTAAAATTAGTAGGATAAATTTAATCTTGTTCCAATGCAATGAAAAATACCTTAGAAATATTGAATAAACATACACAGACGTATACAACTTAAATCAACATAACATCTTATGAACATAAATATTTCGTTTTCCATTTTTTATTTCCCTTTATCAGGCTGTATAAACGAAACATTATCTTCTCGTATTTGTATTTTGATTTATAATTATAAAGAAACTTTTATATGTATTACGTATATATTTCACAGAGTTATAGACACGAATGCTATCTCTGAATTTACTGTACTTATAAATTTTTTAATTATCTGGGATTTTATTGTAATTTGTATTCTAACAAAAATCATAAATTTTAATTTATCGGTTATGAAAGTAATTAGTAGATAATAAAATTTTAATAGTAGGTCATATAAAAATAGAATGACTCAGCATATTATAAATTCCGTACAATTTCAATGGTACACAGCTATGAAATGCAACAACAATGTACATTCTTGAGTCATTCTCTCCTAAGCCGTATAGCAAGAAGAGGGGAGCCTTCTATCAAACTTTGTACTGTAATATATATCAAGCACTGTCAGTTACATATTTCTCGCAAATGTCGTTGAACCGTTATCGGTATTCGAGCTGTTGAGTTCGAGTTTATAGTGAGTTGAAGTGTATAATAATTAAGTAACAGGCATTACAATATACGCACCAGCGACCAGTTAACAACAATGGTTATAGGCATGTTAGAAATTCTCTGTGCCTGCGTGGTAATTTTATATTTACTTTATTATTATTTGACTGCCGACTTTGACTATTGGACATCGCGCGGGATCAATGGGCCGAAACCCATTCCGTTCTTCGGCAATATTGTCGAATTCTTAACGGGCAAGAAAAACATGGGTGATTTCTTCAAAGAAATTTATGACCGATACCCGAAAGATTCCATGGTGGGTATATTTTTGAGAGGAAATCCCGTGCTCGTCATAAGAGATCCTGAATACATCAAACAGGTGTTGATCAAGGATTTTACCACCTTTGCCGATCGACAATTTAAAGTTTATGAAAAGGTATTATTGATAAAATAAATAAATATTAATATGTAAATATATGCAAAGCAATAAGTAAAAATAAAGTTCGACGAATAAATTTAAGATATTAAGAAGTTGATTAATTAAAGAATATAATCTTTGTTAACAAAGATGGTAACAACTCTGTACGATTCGATTACACAGTTTTCATCAGCATTAAAAAAAAAGTAATTTTAATTATTTGAAATAATTTTTAATTTCTCCCTTTTTATTTTGAAACGTACATATCAATTACAATAACTAAAAAAATTAAAGCTGAAAAAGAGTAACTCTATTTTTCTCTCTCCAGTATAAAGTTGAGCTGAAGTATAAGTTTCGAGGCAAGCGTTGATCACTCGGAAACTTTGAAAGAAAACTTTCTAACATAATTCCCGCTTTCTGATACACTGATGCATAATTTATAGGCCGAACCCATGTCCATGCACCTCTTCAGACTCGATGCTGTTAGATGGCGACCATTAAGAATGAGGCTTTCGCCCGTCTTCACAAGCGGGAAGTTGAAGGACATGTTTCACTTGTTGCTGAACTGTTCCAACCACTTCGAGAAGTATCTAGATGAGATAGTATCTAAAGACAGTATTGTCGAGTGCCGAGATCTGACGTCTAAATTCACTGTCGACGTGATCGGATCTTGTGCTTTCGGTCTCGAGATGAATGCATTGAAAGAAGAGAATAATCAGTTTCACCGCATGGGTCGTAAGATCTTCCGCTCATCTCCAAAAATCATGATTAGAAATATACTCAAAGAAATACCGTGGTTTTACAAGCATTTCGGATATATCTTTGACGATCATGACGTGACCAAGTTCATGACAAATATTACTCGAGAAACTATAGAATACCGGAAGAAGAACAATGTGCGTCGAAACGATTTCATCGATACACTTATCGATCTTAAGGATAATCCTGGCAAGCTGGGCGTTAATAGTAGGAACATTGCTTTTTCTGTTTTTGCGTTTTATCTAAACACATATTTGAAAATATTTTTGTTAATCTATCCAATTAGTAGGACACTCAACCATAATGAGTAATATTGCCACAAAAGTATTCTAATAACTATTATAATTTGAATATTCTATTATATAATTATTTGGAGAATTTCAACAAAGTTATTTTCAAATTTGAATCTAGCGAAATTTTAAATACTTTATCGAAATTGTTTTTCCGTGTAACATTTCTTGTATGTTCAACACTATTAACTATTATTTATATTTTTTATATGATTACTATTGTAACAGCATATAATTTCTTTCTTCTTCTTCATGTAAAATCTATATACAAAATTATTATTATTTCTTATTTTTAAGATGTAACGGATGAATTTATTGCTGCCCAATCGTTCGTATTTTTCGCGGCTGGTTTCGATACATCTTCTGCTACAATGTCTCATGCAATGTATGAACTAGCGCAAAATCAATCAATGCAAGATAAAGTTCGAAAGGAGATTAAGGAAATCCTTAACAGTTCTGACGGAGTAATATTATATGATAACATCAAGAAAATGAGCTATTTGGAAAAAATTTTTCAAGGTTCGTTTATGCTTTAAAAAATACTTCTTATAAATAATTCAACGAATTAAATTTATTCACAAACATTGCTGCAATTTTTTTTTTTATCTAAAAGTCGAAAGTGACTACTTTCATAAGATATACGGAAGATACGATAAGTCGTAAATGTTCAAAAATATGTATAAAGAAACGACAGACTAAATTGAGCGGTAATAAGATTTTTTTATATAAAATAAATTTACAGTTTATAATGTTAGTATAACAAAAATAAAAATTTTTTTTATATATTTTATATATTTTTTATTTTTATTTTTATGTTATACTAACATTGTAAACTATAAATTTATTTTATATATAAAAATCTTATTATCGTTCAACTTAGACCGTCGTTTTTTTATACTTTGCATTGCAAAAACCGAGCAAAATCTAATTATTAAAAATATATTTTTGCTGAAATTTTTGCGCAAGTGTTTGTATTATTTTGCAGAGACTCTTAGGAAATATCCACCCGTAATGTTTCTAACGAGACGACCTGTAAAGAATTATACCTTCGAAGGGACTAAGATCACTGTACGAAAAGGGCAACCTGTAATTATACCCATTTATGCTATTCAAAATGATCCAAACATTTATCCAGATCCGGAAGTTTTTGATCCTGAACGATTTAGTGTGGAAAGTATACAGCAGAGAAATCCTATGCATTATCTGCCTTTCGGAGATGGTCCAAGGAACTGTATTGGTAATTTTAAAAACTTGCGTATTATATCATAACAATATCACAATGTTTGCGCAGTTTTTTTTACATAATAACATTCTACATGCACTTACGTCGCATACACATACATATATAGATTATAGAGCATATGGACACATGCACTTGACTGAAGAAATATCGAAATATATTATTTTTAGGCGCAAGATTTGCCATTAATCAAACCAAGATAGGTTTAATTAAAGTGCTGATGAATTATAAAATAGATGTTTGCAAAATAACTCAAATTCCACTTATCCATGCTCCGTGGAGCGGTTTAATGTTCCAAACAACTCATGGCATATACGTAAAATTGACCAAACTCACCTAACATATAATTTGTAAGTATTGTGCTACATATATACCTGTACACTTATATAAGTTAATTAAACAATGTGCAAAGACAATGTCAGAGACATATGAAAATGCCATTGTCTGTATTTTATTCTAACACTTATGTAATATTCGTAGTACATGTTTACAACTCATCTAACATATAATTTGTAAGTATTGTGCAATAAGTACACCTGTATACTTATATCAGTTAATTGAACAATGCAAAATGACATATAAAAATGTCATTATGTCTGTATTTCATTCTAACACTTATGTAATATTCGTAGTACATGTTCACACTATACATTTAATGTAGATTAACTTCAATCTCGATACAATTTACTTCCATTTTTTTTCTAATTTTTAAAACTAGAAAAAGATGAAATATAAGTTAAACCGAAACAGATTTATTATTTATAGATCAACTTTAAACTTGAAACTGGGTAAAAACGGAAAGAAGTCAATAAGATAACATTTGGTAAAAACGGAAAGAAGTCAATGTGTGTATGTGTGTGTGTTTGTGTGATAACATTTATTAATAAAAGAAAAATTAAAAAAAATTCTTTGCAATGTTTAAATATAATTAAATCGTATTTAGATAAGGCATCACCAATGATGTCAATTGCGACGCTTTCAAATAATTTAAAAGATTCGATTCCCTTTTTACTGTATTCATTTATTTATTAATACGGACAATTTATTGTGTGATATTATTTTCCGTATTAATTTGTATATACATTAATTACAATTGCAAAAGTAAATGTGTCAATATATTAATTTAATATACATATGCAATACTACGCAATAATATGTTAAGAATTACTACACTCTAAAAAATATCGATGTAGATATAATATTGACACTAACATAAGAATTACGTCGCATAGTGTTAATATTAATTAACAAATTTTTATTGAACTCATATTTGTTTCTTATTACAACCACTAAATGTAAAACAAAATTATGGTAGATAAATAACGAGCACGTCAGAGCACAACGCTACATAACATTGAAAATAATGCTAAGAAGAATCATATTATCATTGACAATTCGATAATAATTCAGTTTAAATACGTTAATATGTATTTCAATAATATTTCTCATATTATCCATTACAAATAATATCATTTTCGCAGTAATGCTTATTTTGAAATAATACAATACATATGGTACTATAAACAAGTTGCATTTCATTACGTACTGTAAATACTGAAAATCTATAGATTACGTGGCACTGTGAGATTTTCAATACTCCCAGTGATTAACGGAATTATAGATGATGCAGTTTTGACACCCTTAAAGTATGCAAATAGTTGATGTACATGTATAAACACATATAAAAATTATAATATTAACCCTCCAGCACTACTTTTTGGAAGGAGCGGTCTTAAATAATTATAAAGTGAATTGCGACAATAAAATGTTGTAAATACTGAGTACTGAAACCATTAGATACATAGTTTCTGCTATTATATTACACAAACTAAACTCGGATTACAATTTTTGAAATGGGGATTGCGCACTAGCAAACAAACGGAAAAGTAGAACAAGTTTCTGGAACGTAGTTTTCTAATATAAAAGCACATCAATTGCTTATTACAAAAATATTTGTATACATGTGTGTGCGTGTACCATATGCGCACTGATTATTATATAAGATTATAATATACATATACAATCTAAATAAGTTTTTATACCGTTTATGAAAAATTAAAAAATTAATTTACTTACAATGCACAACAATTATTATTAATAATAAAAATTTATTTCGATATTGTATTATTACATCAGCTTGAGATAAATTATAAACAAATAGTTATAAACAAATAGACAAATGATAAACAAACAAATAAGTAAAAACTAAGTATAAAAATAAGTAAAAAACTATTTATAATTAATAAATCTTGTTTATAAAATGTCAATATTTGAAATAATTTCTAGCGTCACATACAGATATGATAAGAAATGTAATCTATTGCACAACTAGCAAAGATAATGATATATCCGATAAAAATGGTATTTAAAACTATCTCACTGAATAACCTAATTTAACACTAATGTAACATTTGTTACAAAACAGCGATAAACATAATAAAAAAAATTAAAAACATATTTTCTTATATGTCTAACGAAAAAATATTTTTTTCGAATATTTTGAAAAAGTTGCGCCAAAATAATTAAAATAAGCGTTTTGCATTGTATCGTGTATTTTATGTATGATAATGATAATGACGGATAATGTTTCATTAAAAAATTTTACGAAACCAAGTGAATAATAACTCAGTATAAAATCTTAACAATGGCTATCTAACAATGAGAGCGCAATTGTGTGGCGATTATTACATCACTTTTCGGATAAAAATTCATAATTAAGTTTTTCTGCTGCTAAAAGGGAATTAACGATGCGCGATAATATGGAATATCTTACTCGAGTGCTTTACGTTCGTTTCGCAGCAATATACTATTATATATCACCGCAAAGTACAACTATCGGAAAGTTTGCGGTTGGTGTGAAGAGACCAACTTCACTGCCGATTATTTTGACAACTTCGGGATAATTACACTCGCGAAGATAACAACGGATAATTACTTAATGAAGATCTATGATACGTATAAAGGAGGACTATTGAGATAAGGATTTATTCTTCCTTCCAGTTTTATTAGCAAAAAGGATCTGACGTTTATAACAATATCCTTATATCAAAGATTTTTCTTCTTATCGCTAATTTTTATTAACTAGCGATTAGCTAATTAATCTCGCTTGTTCTTATGTACTTGTTGGAATATATCCTGAAATTTATTAAAATTAGATTGATCTATAATACTGTAATACAGCCATGTCAATATTATAGATTTAGAATGTTATATAATATGACTTTTATTATAACATAACGATTATATTTCTTGTTTCATTAATCTTCTTTATTGCTATTCAGTAAAACCAGAAATAGCTTTAAATGTCTTTAATCGTGCGCATATTAATGAACGTTATATTCATGAGATAAATAGCAATACTTCACTGCAGTATTGAGATAATATTCAGGTATTTCGGACTATTCTCATTTTGGCAAGTGTAATATCTCGAGCGAATCATCGCTCTACAATAGCGTTCCAGAAACTTGTTGCGAAAGCAATAAACTTTCGTCTTGAGTACACCGTATTGTGCACCTGCGCTTTTAATGAATACATTATAATTATGGTAAATGCGATCGCTGCCTTGGTTACTCGATATATATTGCGTGTATATAAACAAGTTAAGCGTTATTGCACAATTGTAAGCTCATGCTATTTATATTTTTGAAAAATTTTATCGACACAAGGCAATTTTGGAATTGAACCATTTTAGGATTGTTGCGATACAAATTTTGTAGAATTTTTAAATAAAGATAAAAGAGGCAGCTGACAAAGAGTTAACATTTCACGTTTTTCCAGTTATGTCCTCGAATTTTAAATGCCCATGCCAATGCAATGCATATGTTTCATGCGTGTACACGTGTGCGATTTTTTTCGGTTAGCCGACATACACGTAAATCACTTTCACTGCCTGCGGGGTGTACGAATTAAATCCGGCTTGTTCTGTAATTCAATTTTTAGTTTTTAATACTCGCGCTTTTATGCATTGGCAGTTGTCATTTTTTTCTTGAATTTTTTTATTTTACTGCAACACAAAGCGCATGTACAAAAAGTTGCGTGCAGTAGTACATCGGGGATACGTAAACATCAGAGATTAGTAGAATTGGTAGGAAAAAAATAATTATAATATAATAAAAGAAGAAATTCGCACAAGAACATTCTGATTTTTTACATTTTACTTATATAAAAACGCATAACTTTTTCATATTAATTAACTAGTACCATCTTAATGTTTCGTCATAATTATTTAAACAGACGCATTGATTCGTCATTTGGTATCTCAACGATATGAATAATTTTTATACATATAAACATATTCTCTCTACGTGATTATATTTTACATATACCTTTAAATTTCTCGCTTTTATTTAATGTTTAGAGCAATTTAACTTTCTATTAGTCTAAAAATGAGTATAAGCACTACAACAAAGTAGTTGAATTATTACGTACCACGTAAGTAGTTTTAGTCAATCGACAGAGAGACGCGAAGTAATTGCAAACGTAATTGGTCAGAAAGCAGCACACGGTGTAATTTCGACAACAGTGAAATTGTCATTTTGAGTAAAACGCAGAATGTTGCAAAATGTTTTGCATTGCACGTAATATCCATTTATGCTCACGTGTGTATTTGACATAATCCTCCTTTTAACACTAAAGGATACAGAATTGATAATAAGACATTTTCTGATTTTCATTTTCAAAAAATGATAACAAACTACTTCGAAGAGCGATAATTAAGTTTATTATAAGAGAGTAAAAAGATTGTATATTATAAGAAAAGACATCAAAAATACCCAGTTTAAAGTGAGAAAGAGAGACTCTCTGATTTATTCGTGACATTAGGATGGGATTGAGTTTTCGGTAATCTTTCCGAATTCTTTTTTATCTATACACTTCAAGATTTCTTCATTCCTCGCTTGCTTCGCTGGCGTACAGGTACAGATTACTTTCCCGTATTGTTAACCCTTATTTCTCACTTTCCGATCTACAAGCTAAACACAAACGACTCGCGTTCTCTTTGTTCCGTACCGTTCGCGGTCTCAGCGTTTTCAGCAAGACGACAGTCGTTTTCTAACGTTCACCCGATTCGCGAAGTGTCGGGTAGTCCGAAGGGAGGAGTGCGCGCAGTGGTGTAAGACGAGGTTGAGCGAGGGAGCGAAGGGGATGAAAAGTGATCGGCGGGCGCTTTAAGCGGCCGCCGCACCGGAGGGTGACGGACTCGCACGAGTCATGCCGAGCCGAGCCGAAAGCTACGATGGCACTGTCAGTAGGCCTGCCGCAACGCAGCAGTGAGCGCGCCTTCCACCTTGAGCAGGGAGTCGCGTTTACTGAGAATCGGTTGAGAAGGCCGATTGAAATCAATCGCCGATCTCCCGCGTGAGTGAGACCTGAACGTTCGGTCAATCGGGACCGAAAGCCAATCCATGCGTGACAGGTGAAAGTGACTTTTACTGCAGTGGTGAACCAAACTACCCTCACGCGGTCGCTCTATTCGTATCCCAGAGGAAGACTCATCACGAGTTCGCCACTGCACTGTCGGCCGCTGACCTGAGGTTGCGATTTGGTTCACGGAATTATGCGGTTGGGACATTCTCCCTCGAGAAGGAATGAGAGATATATTTTCGAGATAAAATAGATAATATTTAAGATAGATAATTCTTCCCAGGTAATCGATTGCATTTGTACCTGAAATGAAGTTAGATCGATCTGATAAATATTTGTCAACCGATCCGATATGATTGAAGATATTAATACTTTGGTGTTTGCTGCATAGCTTTTCTTTTTTTTTTTTTTTAATAAATGAAAGCGGCGCAGCGTGAATGGATGTACGAGAACGGTGGGCGGTAATCCCGATATACCAAAGTGCATAATGTAAAATGTTTTTCGTGAGCGGATGTGTTAATTGCAACCATTAACGCTCGTGATCGCGTTAAGTATATGACAAACGGAGTCATCTAGTTTATCGATTTTTCCGTCTCACGTTCTCGAAAACATCATTACGTCATTATCGCCGAGCGATGACGGAGGAGAGATGTGGAATGGGTCATTTGTGCGCGCGTGTGAGACTTAGTGGTGTATGAAGTGAACGCTAATAGACTGTGCAAGGATGTACAATTACCCGATCGAGTAACCCCGTTAGACGACGCTGAAGTTTCCGTACATAAATAACGCGCGTAATCGCGCAGAGCCCTTAAGAAGTTACGCGACTTACTTATAATCTGCAGTTTTACGTCGAGAATCTACCGGCGAAGTGCCTCGCGTGCTCCGTCAACTGCACTTAAGCCTTCTCTCAAAGCGCAGGTCGGGACCCCCGCCGTCGCCCTCGCTTGTTACCGTTAAAAGTGTATATCGGACGTTTCATTGGGAGCCCGTGCTTTTCGCCGCGGGCGAAAATCGGCCACGGAGGACCGGGTCAGATCGATGCGACGGATCCTCCGTCTGCAGCGTCTTATGACGAGATGCGCCCGTTAGAACTGAGAATCCGGATGACCTGACGGATCACCGGGGATCGCTCGTCTCATTGAAATTTATCAGCCGTGTCGACTTCCACTTAAGCAGGGTTTAAGGAGAAGGACAGAGTATCTATACGAGGAGGCGAAGGAGACAAGGATTCATTCCGCTTACAATGGAGAGGATGCTTTTGCTGATGAGCTTGCTGGCCCGGTTCGTCGTTGCGGAAGTCCTGCTCGGCGACGTCGACGAGCCACGTAAGTGAATGAAGAACCTGGAAGCTTCCTAGTACAGAAAAAGAAAGAAACGAATAAAGTATAACATATAATTGCGAAAGGAGAAGAGTTTCGTCTCTCCCCCCCCGTTCGTTTACGTTCGATAATGGGATTGAGGAAAATAATTGGTTCCAATCGTATTTTTCTATTCTTGTTATAAGGTTTCTCTTCCTTCAGTTTATGTTTCTCCAAACTTCCGTCATCGCTTATATATGTCGACACGTTTAAGGCTAAGTACCTACGTTGCTTTCGCAGGTAACGGGGAAAATGTTTACGCTTGCAATATTTCCCTGCTTTCAACATAGTGAAAATATTTACGCGCCTGCATTAAGATCGCTTATATCGACGTCCATATCGATTTTCCATATCACAATGCAGGATAATGAACCAGCAAATGCCACGTGAGATAGTGACACGATAGCTGATTAATTTCTTCTACTAAAATTTTAATTTCGATTAGTGTGGCAGTAAATCAAATGAAATATTTAATGCGAAGAATTTATCAAAAAAGATTATGATTAATTTAATTCTCAATTAAAAAAGTTTAAGAGGCTTTCGATTGATATCACAGATAAAAATAATCACATTAATAATCAAAAAGCAGATGTAGATAGTAAAGACTATAAACATAACGTCAAATAGTTATTGTTTAAATATTTTACACGACTCTAGATAGCACGAGAAAAACATTGAAATAAATGTTTATACGTGTACAATTGTGTGTTTCTGATAAAACTTTCTTCTCATTTCCACCGCTTGTATCTATAGTCGCACAGTATTCGTGTATGACGAATACCACAAAAACTAGAACTTTGACAAGTACCATAGAAAACACTTGAACAAACGGCAATAATTGAATTAATTAACACAGTTATTTGCAGCGATTGTTTTGTGACTCTGAAAAAAAGGTTACAGTGACTGTTTTTTTTTTTTACATCAAATAGAAAATATGTCAACGAGAAATACCAACGGTCATCTAGCCAGTTAACTAAAAATAAAAAGAGAGAGAGAAAGAGAAAAATTTATACATTTTATTAACTCTTTTGGATTTAACCAGGATAAACTTCAATTAGTGAACGTTCCAAAAATTTCACCGAAGAAAAATCTTCGCATTCGACATTAAATATCGTTTTATTATTATTACTGTATTGATTTTTCAGAATGCAGCATATATTCAGCGTATGCGCCAATAAAACGAACGGACAATAATTATACGATCAGCGATCGTTTGCCAATGTCTGGAATTACTGCATTGGCGGAACACGTCGTCGAATCGTGCCGTAATTATCATGCAACAACGGCTTGGACAAATAGCGGCATTAAATGCGAAACTAAATCGAGCAAGACGAGAATTTATTTGGTGATCCGATATATATTTCGGCATTACGTACAGGCCGCTATGTGCGAGGTGACAAATGACGCGTTCTGATTTACGACACGGGACCGGGTAAAAGGACACGACAGAATTTCAGGCGTAACGCCCGGCCGCGATTTACGCCGCTAATTAATGGCGAGGGACAAGTTAGCGGGGCCGTCATCGTACCGACATCGGCGACAACCTCATAATCGTTATCGTGCATACGTTGTGCGTGATGTGACGTGTCGCGTGCGCGAGCGCCGGAAAAAGATGAGGAGGCGTACATTAATTTTGACGTACGCACGGGACGTGAACGGCGTCGAGAATTCGCCGCCTGTCAATAGTTGTTTTGCGGGCAGCGGCGGGGACGCGCCCTCCGCCGCCGCCGTCGTGCTCCACGACATCGGACAGGACCGCAACCCGTTTATTTAATCGGTGCATTATGCAAATTGACATAACGGTTCCACTTCGGATGCAGTAATCGACCGCCATCTCTCGACAGATTCACAATGGGCCAACATGTACGCTGAATAATTGGCAGTAGCGTATCGTGGACTGAAAATCAAAGCCGCTGCATGTGCACCCTTCCCTCCCTCTTCCTCTCTGTCCACCCGGTACCCGCGAATTCTCGTGTATATCAGGAACCAACGATGGACCCCTGGCGTGTAACGCGCGCACACACAAATGCGTAATGGTATGTATGCCGTAGATATACGGCTGTTCCGCTCGAAATTGAATGGTGTCGGGGAGGAGTAGATTGGAAGACAACGAGCTTGGGGGAAAAAAACATATCATGCGAGTAATGAAATTATTTTTCGTTGCAATTTTTTTTTTTTAATAAATAAAGCGGTTGCGCGCCGTTAAAGAAAGAGAGAATTTCGTGATGAAGAATATCCCACAACTCATACCGCGTCGATGCGTGGATTCGCAAATTTACGGCTTCGATTGTTCTACACAATCCTTGTCAGTTATAGAGATATATGAAAGTCACCGTTATTCTACCTCGTGCTACGTTAGCTTTTGGCTTATATTTTAAACTTCTTAAAAAATCCTCTTATCTATTTTTCCGAAATAGATTTTTTATCCTCACTCTTATTTGTAAGTACTTTTAACTCTAATAGGGATTCGTTCTAAAATTCCTTAACTGCAGATATTCACGGTCCAGTGTACTTGAAATTAACGTATTGTATCTCTATTAAATTTAATATCACGTTAATTTTAAGCAAAGATACAATACGTTAATTTCAAGTACATTGGACCGTAAGATATCTTCTTTGGAAATAAAAATCCGAGAAATAAAATAATATAATTTTTAATTATGTAAAATAATATTGCGAAAAATATTTATCACAAACAATTTTTTTACAACGTAGTTAAAAAAAATGTCGTGGTTTGCTGAACTCGCAAATACCAATTAGGGTTAAACGTTCTTGCCTCGTTTTTATGACAATTCAGGTTTAATCGTGTAACTAAACTCCTAGGTTCTGTTCGCGTTAAAATTTCATAACATCTACCGTTTAAACTGGTCAAGGGTTTCAAAGCTGTTCGTTAGGCAAACGAAGCAAAAGCGATGATAAAGTCAAAGATTGCGTATGAGATTTTAATAACGGGTTTAGTAATATCTGTCGATACGGCGTATAACGCAACGTCCTTGTCATGGTTTAAACACCGATTACCAAAGTAGGACGATTGTAAAGTTAATAGGGATATGGGACGTTCGTATAGTAGCGTTACCTTATCTACTTCAATTGCCACGGTAGGTGCAACATTAAATTTTTATTCGATCGTTAAACCGGATAGATTACGATCAAAGGCATCAAATGCTATCCGTATATCGCATTTGCCGTATCATAGCAGGCGACTCTACATACTGCATTGCTGACAGTAAAGCAAATTATGAAAGTGCGCGAACTCCCAGTTGTACACATAACGCCATGTGTACATATGTGTCCATAGCGTTGCTGAAATAGTAGCAAAAGTTTGAATTAAAAGTTCATAGTTTTAATCTTCGCTTGATAATAAAGATTAAAAGGTATATTTAGACCGAGACAATATTTAGAATTTTTCATTAAAACAGAGTTCAATGGTACATACAATTCGCAATTAAGCATCACAATTAATATCTTATTTATAGTCTTACTTTTTCTTTGCAAATTTTTTGCATCAGCCGTTCGCTATTTTATTATATGTGGATTAATCAATAAAGTTATTATTATCCTTAACGATTTATAAAAGTTATTTGAGACGAAATAAATATTCGATTTATGTTTGCTACTGCTTTATTTTGTGTTGCAATTATAAGCGAGAAATAGTATCATTTATTTTAAATGTATAAAAACTATGGACATATTGCGGTGATACGTGAATACGTTTATTTTCATGAATAATGTATATCGAGACATTGGTTTTATGAAAGCTCCATCATAAATTATTGCGTAATGACTCAATCGACATTAATAAACTTGGATTGCTCACAAAAAAAGTTAAAAAAACACAGCGGCATTACATGTATAAAATGAGTTTTTTAACTGTAAAGAAGTGTTCATACTCGCTACGTATTTTTAAATTGATTCTCTTTGAAGTTATCAGTGGATATACGGCCACCGCTTCAAAATGGTGCGTCGAATGCGCTTAAACGACTACAGATCTCCTCGCGGTAAACCGCGTGCTCGTAATGGAGCGTAATGCGTACAGTAACGGTCCATTACGGGCGAAGATATTGAAATTCCGCGGGAGTGCAACTTCGTCCGATGGAAACTTAAAATTCTTTCGCCGGCGGTCGCGCCGCCGCGGCCATGGTCGCGGCCAACCCCCTCCTCCCCCC